GGATGGTGATAACAGTTGTATGAGTCCTCAATAAAACCACGCAGTGAAAAGGAGTCTCCTGACCCGCCTGTGCACTGAGACCCCGCTGGTCTCCCGAGAGGTCTCACTGCCCCCCTAGTATAGAGGCGACCAGGTGTGCTCATGTACGTTCGCGCACAAACACAAGTCTCTCACATCCCTTCATTATTGGCCGTGACTGCCTATCAAAAATAGAAAGCTGTCTCTTTTTAACAGAGAGAGGGAAGGTGGCCAGGGAGACTTTCATCATGTTAGCGGTTTTGTTCGAATGACATAGAAGAATATGATTACATAGTGCTTCTGTATTTAATCAGAAGTCCTGGTGGGGCTGTGGGTCAGGTGATGGACTGCTAACCTTAAAGTCAGTGGTTCAAACCCACCAGCTGCTACAAAGGGCAAAGAGGAGGCTGTCTGCCTCCACGAAGATGTGCTGTCTCAGGAACTCCCTAGGGCCGCTGTGAGTTGGACTGGACTCGATAGCAGTTTTTGTTGTCGTTCTACATTTAATACTAAATAAGATGCATAAATTGACGAAAGGAGGCAATACATGTGAGTGCTCAGCACAGGGCCTAGGATGTGCAGCTGTTGAGTAGACAAACTGAAAAACCAAACAAGTTCCTGCCGACTCCCAGCCACCCCCTGTGGGCTCCACAGGTTTTCAGTAACTGATTTCTCCCCAATAGCTCACCAGGCCTTTCTTCCAAGGCACCTCTGGGTGGATAACCTTTCCGCTGCTGGCTCTGACCCATAGCGACCTGTATGACAGAGTTCAAGGGCCTCGGAGGGTTTTCTGCTTCATGGGAGCTGATCACCTGGTCCTTTCTGTTGCTGGTGAGTTCAGATCACTGGCCTGTTCTCCAGCAGTCAAATCCTTGGCGGCAACACCACCAGGGCTCCTTCACCCAGGAGATATATGCCATTACCGTCAGGGCCTCTTGGTGCTCAGCTTGAAGGACAGCTGTTCCCAGAAGCCCCCATCAGGATGGTGCTCCCAGGATTTGAGCAGCACACCCACTTGAGCAGACCAGCAAACCAAGGGATGTCTTCCTCCCAAACAGCCACTGGAGGGCGCGCTTATCTTGTGAGGAGAAGCAGCTGGCGCCCGGAGGTGTGAAATGAAGGACAATGACTAATTATTTCAATAGCATCTTAAGGGATTTTCCATCTCTCCAGGCTTGCAAGTGTCTCACCTAAGATACTATTCACTGATTTGATTTGACTTAGGCTTTTGATAATCTGATTTCTACCAAGATTGAACATAAAGACCAAGTCTGAAGAGGGGATAGCTCCATGTGACTGGATGAAAGATGGAAAATGGACACCACACGGACGAGAGGGCAACTTCTGGACAGAGTGACGGGATTGTGTAGGCAGGGGAGTCATTACAACGTGAAGATGCATTGCTTGACAAAGGGAGAAAGGTGGGGCTTTCTACCTCTGTGAAGGCGAGTCTCAGAGACCCACAGGAGCAGTTCTGTCCAGTCCCAGAGGGTCACTGTGAGTCGGAATCAGTGAGTGGGTGCTTAAAAAACCCAAAGCAAAGTTGGAGCAAGCGTGATTTGATAAAAAGTGCCTGTTGTGCACAATGGAAGTGTAGGTGCTCGTTCCCTATTGCTTGCACGTGTCTACCTCTTACAGTGTCTACCTCTTACAGTTCTCAAGCAAATCAAGCAGAAGCCTAGCAGTGTGTGGAACCCTGACCTCCCACCCCAACATACATGCACGGGCCCCTCCAGAAGGGAGTTGGCCCCAGCTGGGTGATCCTGGGCATCTACGGAAGCCTCTGGGCCTCCCTGGACCACAGTCTGAAAGTGCTGACCTAGGCCTTTTCCCCTCCAGTAGTCGATGATGGCGTCTCGGGAAAGGAAGTTTGCTCGGGATCTCAGAGCAGTGAACTTGGAGCTCAGCCACTTTGACATCTGCTCTGTGCTTGTGCTCATGGTCACTGTTGGCTCGCAGGGAAGGCTGGAAGTGCTGGGGGGTTCCCAATTCTGCATCCCACAGCAAGGGCTCAGAGGTCCCAGGCACTCAGTCTGCTTTAGGTCAAGCCTGGAATCGCACACGGATTGCAGCTGGTCAGACCTCAGATCACCCTTTGACCCTGCTCCGGGACCTGGGATCAGGTCCCATCATCCAGCACCATCATCCGTGTCTCCTGGATCCTTCCTATTGGGCCCAATGCCAAGCAGAAGGACTCCAGGAACAGACGCGCCTTCCCCGGGCCAGACAGAGAGTGCTCATTAACCTTAATTACCAGAGGGCACACGTCCCCGTCCAGCTCCGTTTCAAAGCGAGGACACGACACCCAGGAGAGAGCTTAGCACTGAACTCGGCTGCTGTTCCCTGGGATCAGAGCTGCTGGCCGTTCCAGCAGCCGGCTCAGTCGTTTCCAGCCTAATTGCATCGTCCTTCAGCACCGAGCCGGCCCCAGCCAAACGCGCCATCTGCCAGCTCTTTGGCGCGGCTGCAGGCGAATCAGCTTCAGAGTCAGGGCCTCTGATCTGGCTGGATGAAAGACCCTCGTGGGAGCTGGTGCTGGGCAGGCCCCACATCCTTGTCCAGTTGTGCAATTTTAGGGTTGGGGGTGGTAGGTCCAAATGGGGAAGAGTCCTGCCAAAGGCTGCAGGGAGGGCACAGCACAAAATGAAGAAACCAGAAGCAGGGCCCACAGACAGGGTGCTGCATCCTTGTTTAGAGGAGAACTGGCAACAGGGGATTGAATCCAAAGGGTATGTGCAGCTGTGGAGGCAGGACAGGCAGGCATCCTGGGATATGGGGTCAGGGCTTGAATCCTCGCCATGCCACTGACCAACTATGTAGCCTTGGACAAATCAATTCGATAACCAGCCAAAGTCAGCATGGAGAGCTGATGAAATGCCAGGCCTGGGTTTGAAAGTTGGGTGCAATGATAAATAGTTGCTGCCTTCTGGGAATGCACCTCTTTGAGGGGGAAATGGGCAAGAAGGGGAAAATTACAGGGCCAAGAACTCTGGGGGTGCAAGGGTTACATTCTAAAAGGCTGTCGTGTGTACCCTCCCCATGGCACCAGAAGCAAAAACCTGAGGATCTTCTCTCATCAAGATGCTGGCCTTGAACAAACCCAGGGACAAGGGAATAACAAGAGACCTAAAACAGATGTCAAGGAGGGCACAGAATGCCAGGTGGGGCTCGATCAAGTGCCATGTAGCTACGAGGAAGTACAGAGAGCTGAATGAAGGTCGAACATGAGAGTGGGACAGGAGGAAAGTAAAAAAAAAAAATACAGGAAAGGACTAGTAGGCAAAAGACATTTTTTAGAGCTATAAACATAGGCATGTACATATGTAAGTATATTAACATATAATGATAGGGATATAGATCTATGTACATATATTTATAGGTTAAGTATTAAAGTAGCAGACAGACATTGGGCCTTTACTCAAGTCCTCCCTCAATGTAAGAACACTTTTGTTCTAATAACCTGGCATTCTGTGATGCTCACCTTCCTGACATGATTGCTGAAGACAAAATGGGTGCATAAGCAAATGTGAAGAAAGCTGATGGTGCCCAACTATTACAAGATATAGCATCTGAATATTAAAGGATTGAAGTTAACAAGCGGCCATCTAGCAGGGAAGCAACAAAACCCACATGGAAGAAGCACACCAAACCAGGTGATCACAAGGTGTCAAAGGGATCAAGTATCAGAAGACCCCAAACAACCATTTCGATTTGATTGAGCGGTCAGAATCGAGACCCAAAGCCCAGCTGTAGACTGTTGGACATCCCCTCAGAGAAGGGGAAGGGATGAGCCACCCAGGGTGCAGTATAACATCAACAAAACACACAACATATCTCTAGTTCTTAAATGCCCCCCCCATCATGATCCCAGTTCTATCTTACAAATCTAGCTAGACCAAAGCATGTACACTGGCACAGCTAAGAGCTCTCGACCCAGAATCCAGGACTGATACATCCCTCAGGACTAATAATGAGTAGCAATACCATGAGGGTAGGGGGAAGGTTAGTGGGGAGAAGGGAGAGAAAGGGGGAATGGATCACAATGATCAACGTACAACATACACCCCCTCCCAGGGGGATGAAAAATAGAAACCTGGGTAAAGGGAAACAGCGGACGGTGTAAAATATGAAAATAAAAATAACATAAATTATCAAGGATTCACGAGGGTGGGAGGGTGGGGGGTAAAAAGAGGAGCCGATACCGAGGGCTGAAGTATAAAGAAACAGCTTTGGAAATGATGATGGGAACATATGTATAAATGTGCTTGGTACAACTGATATATGGATTGTTATAAGAGCTGTAAGAGCTCCCAATAAAAATGATTTATTAAAATTAAAAAAGATGCTGGACTTGGAAACCAGAAACCCGAGGGGCAGTGCTACTGTCACACGGTCATTATGAGCTGGAGTCGACTCAGCAACACACAATCGCAAGAAGACAAGTGCATGGCCAGGGCACTGTGGCAACTCGGAGCGAAGGTACTGCCCGCCATGGGGCGAGGGTCAGCGGCTCAGAGGT